CTCCCTGCGCCCGGGGCTGTTTCTGCCCCAGCTCTCAGAAGGGCTGAGGAGAGACCACCCCCAGGAGCACTACTGTGCCTAGGGGCGGGAGTGTGGCAGAGGCCAGCGGGTCATGGACCCGACAAGTTGGGGAGCACAGTGGGACTGGATGGCTGCATCCGAAGCAGCCCTGGGATGGAAGAGCTCATGGGGGAGTTACTGAGGAACCGAGGCCCCTGGGAATGGAAAAGCGAGCCCAATCTCAGGAAGACCGTTGTGTATCAGGCACAATGTTCCTTCCGAGATTGGGCTCTGCCCAGCCCTCGTGTCTACCCCTCCTGCATGAAGGCACAGCCATGGCTCTACCTGCCTCCACTCGCAGGCCTATGAAGCCACAGTTACCATCCAGCTATCACCCATCTACTCAGCCTCCCACTCCCCGTTCGTGATTCATTCATCAATTTACCCCTCCATCTGCCCACCACCTACCCATCAATCATCCACCCATCCATCCATACATTCATCCACTCACCCACCCTCCCACCTACTCATCCATCCATGCACCCATCCCATCCCATCCATCCATCCATCCATCCACCCACCCACCCACCCATAGGAGAATATCAATGTTCAATGGCAACAGAAACTAAGAGCAGAATAACTGGTCCTAAGTAGGAAGCTTGCCACTGGGGCAGGGGTGAGGGGAGTAAGTTAGAGAAGGGAACAGTAGGACAATGGGGGAGGGGAAAGTGCCTGCCACAGAAGCAGGTTTGGGAGCTGGTGGGAGGGAAACTGGAGATACTGGTGGAGGACAGTAGGCACTGGTGAAGGGATTGCTGTTGGAACAATATACACCTAAAACTCAATCATAAATATTTTTGTAACTTTGTAATTCAGAGCGATTCACTTTATATATAAATATATATGTATATATATACATACATATATATATATATATATAAACTGACACATATTTACAGTTTAGCCCACAGAATGCACAAGACAGCAATGAACCTGTTAGTCAGGAGTGTTGCAAGAACTCAATACATGTTAAGCTACATAAATTCTTACAATCAAGATACACCAGGGGTTGGTCAGCAAACTACAGCTCACAGCTCAAATCCAGCCTATCCTTTAAAAAACAAACACATGGGACTGGAGCGATAGCACAGCAGGTAGGGCATTTGCCTTGCATGTGGCCCACCCAGGTTCGATTCCCAGCATCCCATATGGTCCCCTGAGCACAGCCAGGAGTAATTCCTGAGTGCAGAGCCAGGAGTAACCCCTGAGCATTGCTGGGTGTGGTCCAAAAAGCAAATAAATATATAAATAAATAATAGATAAATAAAAAATAAAATCCCATCAACGGCCAAGACCCAGAGACTATAAAACCCAGCTCCCGGAAGAGAACAGCGCAGTCTCCTGCCCCCGCGCCTGGCTGTCCTCACCGGGGCCCTTGGAGGGGGCAGGTTGAGTTTCCCTCCCCACCCCAAGCAGAGCCCCAACAGCCGAAGACCTCCGGAACCAGCCACAGCCATGCTGAGACCACTCTCCACACGTTCGGACAAGCCTCACGCATGAAGGAACTGGCAGAGGAACCCAAGCATGCAGGTCCCAGGGCTGAGATCTCCCAGCCTGCTCGGATCGGGACTGGGCCTCCTCCACTCAGATACCCCATCTTCCAGTAGGTAGGCTTCACACGCACCAACTGCCTCCCCACCCCCACCCCGTGATATGTAATCCCATCAACAGCCAAGACCCAGAGACTATAAAACCCAGCTCCCGGAAGTGTGCAACCACAAACATCTTATTATCTAGTTCTTACTCTGGAGAACCCTGCAGGCTACTGAAAGTATCCTGCCCGCACGGCAGATTCTGGCAAACTCCCTGTGGCATAGTCAATATGCCAAAAACCAGTAACAAAGATGCGTCTCATTCTCCTGACCCTGAAAGAGCCTTGAATGTGGCACTTTCTAAAATCTCAGGGCTAGGACGAAGGAGACGTTACTGGTGCCTGCTCGAGGAAATCAATGAACAAGAGGATGACCATGATACCATGATACCGTGAAATAAAAAACAAACACATGCTTTGGGTGCAAGAGGCCTAGACTGGACCCCCAACATTGTTCCTGCGAGCATCATCAGGAGCACTGAGCCAGAAGTAGTCCAAGTGCCACAAGATATGGCCCCAACACTCCACCCCCAAAAACCTGCGTTTTGGGTCACACCCGGCGATGCTCAGGGGTTACTCCTGGCTCATGCACTCAGAAATTACTCCTGGCAGTGCTCAGGGGACCATATGGGATGCTGGGAATCGAACCCGGGTTGGCCGCGTGCAAGGCAAATGCCCTACCCACTGTGCTATCGCTCCAGCCCCTCCACCCCCCAAAACTTGTAATCTAGCAAGAGTACACCACTGTAGCACTGTCATCCCGTTGTTCATCGATTTGCTTGAACACTCACCAGTAACATCTTCATTGTGAGACTTGTTATTATTCTTGGCATTTCGAATACACCTCGGGGAGCTTGCCAGGCTCTGCGATGGGGGCAGGATACTCTCGGTAGCTTGCCGGGCTCTCCGAGAGGAATGGAGGAATCGAACCCGGGTAGGCCACATGCAAGGAAAACACCCTACCCGCTGTGCTATCGCTCCAGCAAGAGTATACAGTTTGTAATGGTTAGCGAAATTGAGATTCAAATGTTGGTGTCCCTGTTGCACTGGGTTCCACATTCACTGCTTTTACCCCAAGACAGAGCAGAGTAGTGGTAGATCTGAGGGGATCAGAGACCAGGGCTTCCAAGACTGCTCAGTGCATGTGACAGGTGGTGACTTATGTTCGGTGGTGGCAATCGGAGAAGTATGTCCAGATAAAACAAATCAAGACTACAAATCTTTCAGTGAGTCGTTCTGAATATTAAAGATAATAGAATCACTATCAACAATCCATAGGAAATGAGGTGAATAGAGGCTAGGGAGGGCTGGAGCGATAGCACAGCGGGTAGGGCGTTCGCCTTACAAGCGGCCAACATGGCCGACCCGAGTTCGATTCCTCCGCCCCTCTCGGAGAGCCCTGCAAGCTACCGAGAGTATTCGATATGCCAGACACAGTAACAACAAAGTCTCCAATGGAGACGTTACTGGGCCCGCTCGAGCAAATCGACGATCAACGGGAGGGCCTTTACCTTTACCTTAGAGGCTAGGGATGTGGCTCAGCTGCAGGCTTCATGCAGACTTCATATGTGTGAGGTCCTGAGTTCCACGCCAAATATCAAACAACAACAATGCCCGAACCCCCCCACCAAAAAAAAAAGTGAATGTCTTGAAGTGGCTTTTCTTTTTTTTGGCAGCTGATAAGTTCATATGTTACTGATACGTATCAATTTTGAAGAGTTAGTCTTAATGCATATTCTGCAAGAACTAGAATATATTTGGCAGTGGCAGTGGGAGAGCCACACCCAGCGGTACTCAGAGCTTACTCTTGACTGCACCCAGGGGTTATTCCTGCAGGAGCTTGGGGGACCATAAGGGATGCCAGGGATCAAACCCAAGTTGACCGCATGCAAAGCAAATGTCCGACCTGCTGAACTATCACTCCAGATGCCCACAAACACACAATATTTAAAGCCTTTGGCTTTAGGAGTTTCTGGTTGGTTGGATGATTTGTGGGACACACTGAGAGGTGTTCAGCGGATGATGCGGTACAAGGAATGGAAAGTGGGAACCCCATATGCTTGGCCCTTTCAGCTCTTTCTCCAGCCCTGTTACTTAGTTTTAATTCACACACACACACATGCACACGCACACACGCGCACACACGCACACGCAGGAGGGAGCCATACCCGGCAGTTCCCAGGGCTTATTCCTGGCTCTATGCTAAAAGATCACTCCTAGTAGGGCTTGAGGGACCATATGGGGTGCCAGAGATATAACTGGGTGCAAGGTCAGCTAGGTGCAAGGCAAGTGACTCACTGGCTCCAAGTTACCTAGATATTTAACTCTTTGATTTTGGGTCACACTCCATGTACTCGGGGCTTACCCCCTGGCTCTGTGCTCAGGGATCACTCCTGGTAGAGCCTCTGGGGTATCAAACTCACATAAGCCAATATGCAAGGCAAATACCCTACCTGCTATACTATCTCTGTAATCCTCTGACTATTGACCCAAAAAGTCTGCAATATTTAACATCTGATCCTTCACAGAAAAAAAAAAAAGGAGAGAGGGAAAAAAAAAACAACCACAAACTCCATGTAAACAACTGAAATAGTTTTTTTTTGGGGGGGGGGGCACATCCAGCTGTGTTCTAGCTCTGACCAGGAGCCTGATGGCCTTCCCCACAGAGCTGCTCAGACATGCAGCAACTGACACCCAAGGAAGTGAAACTACCAGCAGAAGCAGTGGATATGAGAGAACACCGGATGAACATCTTACATTTGTAAGCCCAGAACAAACTGCATTTAAATAGAACAGATTACAGATAACAGGCTCAGGACCTGGTTGCAATGTCTTATCAATAAGAAAACAATCATATGAAACCTCGTCTTTAGTCATTTCTGGGAATGATACGAAATCTAAAAGAAAAATCTGTAACAGAGGTTTAAACTTATGTCTAATCTAATCATTTCATAAATGAGGCTGTTCTTGTGTCATGGATGTCCTGAGAACTATTTCAGTTGGAGTTTTGTGAGGTAGGTCTTCCCCCACTTAGAGAACTGAACTCAGTCCTGACACCATCTGCACCATGAGAGCATGAGGTTCCCCAGTCTCCTAACGCCACCCTGACTTCAGAGGCCAGTCATAAGTTTCAGGATTGTGGTGACCGATTGGGGGTTTTCACAACTGCTCCCCAGACTTGAGGTGACATCATAAGCCCAGAATAGCTATAACTAATAAGTTCCTCTAGGTGTTCTTTTTTACATGCTAAAGAACTCACAGAACTCAGGAAACTCTCATTTTCCCAAAGTATAGGTAAGCATTTTAAACAATGAACTGGCATCATGAGACCTTTTTTTCCTTCTTTTTTATTTCTGGTGCAAGGGAAAGGGGACATGTGTTGTATCAGAGAACTTCATCAGCCTCTAAATTTTTCCTTTGTTTTTTTTCCTGAGCCACACCTGGCAGTGCTTAGGGCTCATTCGCTTCCTACTGGATCTGTGCTCAGGGATCACTCCTGGTGGGCTTAGAGGATCCTATGGGGTGAAAGATATCAAACCCAGGTTGGCTGTGTGCAAAGCAAACACCCTACCTGCCATACCATCATTCCAGCCCCAAGGCATTTCCTACTAATTTAAAATTCCAAATAAATTTTGACAAACTAAGTTGCAATTAACAGAACATTTAGGGAAACTAATGCACCAAGCAAAGTTATTCTATTAGTGATGCAAACAGCTGAAATACAGTAAGAATGATGATTAATAATAAAAGAATGTCACTTGCCCAATAAACATAAAAGTGGAGACCAGGGCGCACCAGTGTCCTTAGCTGAGGTGCTCTCATTAGAACACAGATGTTCCTGGACGGCAAGGAGTGTCTGTGCTGACTGGCAGATGCGCTGCACTTCCTGAGGACCTGGCAGACCTCACTGAAAGGGCCCCTCCAGACAAAGAGCCCAAAGACACAGCTACAAACTGCATGCACAGTCCTTCCTAGTCCCTCCAGCGATGCCCACACTGAGCATTGCAGCACTTGTAGAAGGTGGTCATAGGCTCGTCCGCAGATCGCGTCTGAAGTTGCATGAAATAGGCTCGAGGGTGTTCACATTTTGGACAAGGTTCTGGCAACAAGAAAAACAAACATGTGACCCACATTGTATTTTTTAAAAACACATATAAATAGGGGCTGGAGCAATAGCACAGCGGGTATGGCATTTGCCTTGCACGCGGCCGACCCGGGTTCGATTCCCAGCATCCCATATGGTCCCCTAAGCACCGCCAGGGGTAATTCCTGAGTGCAGAGCCAGGAGTAACCCCTGTGCATCACCAGGTGTGACCCAAAAAAAGCAAAAAAACAAAAAGCACGTATAAATATAAAAAATGTATATGCTTGTGACCAGCAGGCCTGTAAAATGTAGATATTCTGCGAAGAATAGCAAAGCCGACCCTTCTCCAACGGGACCCTTGCTCAGAGGGTGCTTCACCTTTTCCACTCAACTCACAGAGGAGACCACAACACCTGAACCCTTCAAGGCTATCACCTGTCCTGGGTCCTACTTTGCTTCTCAAATCTGGTTAGGACTGACTTGAAGCAATATGACAAACAACTCACAGCCGTCCTGTGCAGTTTGGGGTCCATGTCCCATAGACCCATGCCCCCAGGATCTGAAAGGCAACTGGCACGCCTTCCCAGTGAGTTACCAACCTATTCCCCTTCTATGTCTATTGAGAAGTAGTTCCTCAAGCTCTTTTTTATCTTTTTTTGGGGGGGTGGGGGGGAATTACTACACCCAGAGGAGCTCGGAAGAATCACATTGTGCCAAAAATGCAATCAGGGTCAACCACATAGAAGGCAAGTACCGTACCCTGTACTATTTCTCCAGCCCCACTACCCAAACAATACTAAACGTTTTAACACAACAGCTCTGTCAAGAGTGCCTGATAAGAGTGCCACCACATGGGGGTGGGGGTGGGGATGGGGGAGGGAGAGATTACAACAAAGATTTAATTTTTTAAATTTTTTTCTTTTGGGGTCACACCTGGTGATGCACAGGGGTTACTCCTGGCTCTGCACTCAGGAATTACCACTGGCTGTGCTCAGGGGACCATATGGGATACTGAGAATCGAACCCGGGTTGGCTGTGTGCAAGGCAAACACCCTACCCGCTGTGCTATCGCTCCAGCCCCCAAAGATTTATTTTAGGGATGGAGAGATAGTACAGCAGGTAGGGTGCTTACTTTGCATGCAGCCAACCCGGGTACAATCCCTGGCATCCCTTATGGTACCCTGAGCTCACCAGGAATGAATCCTGAGTTCAGAGCTAGGAGTAACTCCTGAACACCACCAGGTATAGCCCCAAGACCAAACTGACAGAAAAATAAAGATGTATTTATTTTACTCAGACTGTAGTCCCGTCCCCCCCGCCCCGGGGGGAGGGGGGGCGGGGAGGTCACACCCAGTAGTGTTCAGGGTTTACTCATGGTTCTGTGCACCAAGACTCACTCTTGGCAGTCTCGGAGAACCATTTGCAGTGCCTGAGATCAAATCCTGGGTTAACTATGTGTGAGGTAAAAACCTTACCCACTATACTATCACTCTGGCCCCCCAGACTACAGTTTAACGTTCTGGTTTTGAAATCTACATTAGGATGCTGAAGTGACAGTATAGTGGCGAGGGTTTTTGCATTGCACACAGTGGCCAACCCAAATTTGATCCTAGGCATCCCATAGGGTCCCCTGAGCCACACCAGGAATGATCCCTGAGCACAATGCCACGAGTAAGTCCTGAGCACCATTGGGTGTGTTCCCCCTCCCACAGCCCCATAAACAATCACATTAGAGGATTGGGGAGACAACACAAAGGACTAGAACACAAAAATGCCTGGTATGCAAAGGGCCCCTGAAGTCCAGAAATCCCTGGCATAGCATGTCTTCCTAAGACTGCTGGGCATAGCCCTGGTGACCCTCAGCATCACTGGGGAGCTCCCTCCTAAAAAGTAGCTACATCAGAAGAAAAAAAAAACAGGGCCAAGGAGATAGTACAGAAGATAAGGGCTTGCCTTGTACAAACGACCCAGATTTGATTCCTGACACATAGGGTTCCCCAGAACCTTGACAGGAGTAATCCCCAAAAGCAGAGCTAAGAGTAAGGCCTCAGTGCCACCAGGTATGAAAACATTCCTTTTCTTAAACTTTTTTCATACTTTAATTGTTTAAAAAAAATTTTTTTTTTTTTTGGTTTGGGGTCACATCTGGCGGTGCTCAGGGCTTATTACTATTTCTTTTTTAATATCATGAGCACAGGGCTGGAGCGATAGCACAGCGGTAGGGCGTTCGCCTTGCACGCGGCCAACATGGCCGACCCGAGTTCGATTCCTCCGCCCCTCTCGGAGAGCCCGGCAAGCTACCGAGAGTATTTGATATGCCAGACACAGTAACAACAAAGTCTCCAATGGAGACGTTACTGGGCCCGCTCGAGCAAATCGACGATCAACGGGAGGGCCTTTACCTTTTACCTTATCATGAGCACAAATTAGCACCAGGGAGCCCTAGAAGTCCATCAAGTCTATGAAACAATAAAAGGTTACCATGAGACTCTAACAAAGGCCTGTATAACTCCAAGGTTTGTTCCAATACTATTCATGTAAGCAGTATGCAAAAAAAAAAAAAATTGGCCACATGTAGCGATGCTCAGGGCTTACTTCCCACTCTGCACTAGGCAAGGCAAATGGCTTACACACTGTACTATCTCTCCAGCCCCAGCAGTACATTGTTAAAGAAATTAATGTTCTTTTTATATGTGATAATTCTAACCAGGTGTTAAGAAATTGCCCCTTGTTGTGTTTGGGGAACCAGGAGATCCCTGGGATCCAACCAGGCTCCCCAAATGCAAAAGGATGGGTTCCAGTCTCCTGAGCCATTTCTAGGTGTGTAGCTCCTTTTCTAGAGACTGACTTCATAGAAGTATTTCACAGGCTGACGATATCATACTGATACACGGCTCAGAGTGAGAAAAATTCACCTGCAGTCGAGTCCACGTTCTCCCAAGCGGCAGCACCCCCAAGGACATCATCCACTTCCTTCAGCTTTGGGTACTTCCGATTGGTTACCTGACAAATACCAAGTCTTTAGTTTCTTCAAGGCACAAACTTGGGTACCAAACCACACCCTGTCCTCAAAGGTCTCTGTTGACTTGCTTCCTTGAAGAGACTGGCAGGGCACCGAACACAGAGTTCCTTCCTCAGGAGCTGGAATATCACAAGGCTGTCAAGGACCCACAACTAAATGGCCCCACTAGTTGCAGTGAAAGTACATCATGGAGGGCATTCGCCTTGCATGCTGCCTACCCAAATTCAATTCCTGGCATCCGATATGGTCCCCAAGCCTGCTGGAAGTTATTTCTGTGCTCAGAGCCAGGAGTAAAAACTGAGCACAGTCAGGGGGTGGCCAAAAAGAGATCTCTTACACTTCCCGGCAAAAGATTCAACTGCTGGAGAAAATTTCAGCAAGATCCTGAGCTTCATTTGGTTGCTTGGTTTTTGGGGCCACACCCTGCACGACCAATGGCCACTATACAAGTGACCCTGCGGTGCTCAAGGCTTTTTCCAAGTGCCGCTCGGGGACCAAAGTGTTGTCCCGGCTCGAACCTGGGTCGGCGTGTTCAAGGCTAGTGCTTTACCCCCTGTACTATTCGAAGGGCCCATTAGGCCAAAATTGTGGAGGGGAAAAAAACTGTTCAGCTGCGACACTCTTCTACCACGTCCCTAAGATGTCTGATAAACCAAGATGAGAGAAAAAAATAAAACGGAAGCCTGAGTGGCCGAGCTCAGCAGATTTGTACAGCCACGCACCCCTTGCCCCCTCCCCCCGCGGGGCAGCGCCTGCAAACTAGATCACACTGCGGTGGTCAGGGGTGACGCTCCAGGGGGTGGAGAGAGGCAGGACTGGGGCCAGGGTTTGGATTTGGTCCCCAGCACCACTAGGAGTGACTCTGGAGGACAGAGGCAGGAGACACTCCTAAGCACAGCTGCGTGCGGGCCAACCGCCTCCCCCCACGCCCGCCCAACAAACATTAACACAGAACCGAGGTCCCTAAAAGCGAATAGACCTGATAGCACGTGCACCGTTCCACGGCGGAAGACCCACTACACCCCCGGCTCCTACAGCAGGACAGGAGAAAACGGACGCGTCCCTGCACGGCTTCGATCCCAGCGCTGACGGAACACACGGGAAACTCAAAGCGCACTGCAAGGGCCACGCTGGCGCCCGCCGACTTAGGAGACCCCGCCACTTAGGAGGCCCCGGCCCCGGCGCGCGGCCCACCTTACGGGTGATATTGTGCACGTAGGGGCAGGTGTTGCAGGCAAAGCGGTGGCAGCGCTGGCCCTCCTCCACGATGAGTCCGTTCCCGCAGCTCGGGCAGAAGAGCAGCATGGCCGCAGCCCCGCGCCCGCCTCGGCCCCCCGGGAGCGGCCCCCGGCCCGCAGCAGCCCGCGGCCCACCGGCACTCACGCCGCTTCCGGGCTCCCGGCGAGCACCGCGGCACGGCGGCTCCAGCTCATTGGTGCTGGCCGTCGCCACGTGCCTAGACCCACCAATAGACACGGCGCTTCCGCACTCCCGGCGAGCACCGCGGCGAGGCAGCTCCCGTTCATTGGCGCGAGTCGTCGCCACGCGCCCAGATCCACCAATAGACACGGCGCTTCCGCACTCCCGGCGAGCACCGCGGCGGGGCGGCTGCAGCTCATTGGTCCCGGCCCCGACGCCCGGGCTGTGATTCGGCCCCGCCGCCGCGGCACACCCGGACGCGAGCGCTGGGCTGCAGCTTGGGGCTCAGCTTCACCGGCGCCCTGGAGGAGACTCAGGCCGCGGCGCCCCCAGAGGCGCCAGACGAGGATGAGGACGAAGAGGAGATGCTGCCTCACTCGGAGGCGGTCGATGTGTTCCAGGAGGGGCTCGCCATGGTGGTGCAGGACCCCCTGCTCTGCGACCTCCCTATCCAGGTGCGCGGCACGGGGGGGCCGCACGGACCTCCGCGGAGGGGCTCGGTCGGGGATGGTTTTCACGGGAGCGTGGGAGGCTGTAGCCGCGGGTGAGGATTTTTTTTTCTTTTTAGGGGTCACACCCGGCGATGCACAGGGGTTACTCCTGGCTCTGCACTCAGGACTTACTCCTGGAGGTGCTCAGGGGATCATTTGGGATGTTGGGAATCGAACCCGGGTCGGCCGCGTGCAAGGCAAACGCCCTACCCACCATGCTATTCCTCCAGCCCCTCTGGTGAGGATTTAGATTTTACGTGTGACCCAGCAGTTCCATCTGCCATCTGCCACCACATACACAAAGCGTTGATGGAGAAGGAGAAAGGCACAACTGTGTTCGCAGCAGCGCCAAGTAGCCGGGACATGAAATCAGCACAAATTTTCAAGGACAGATGCATAAATAAAGAAGTGGTAGTAGATATATGTAGTGAAGTACTACTCAGAGATAACGGGGAAAATGAAATCTTGCAGTCTGCTGCAGCGTGGTTGGAACGGGAGTCAGAGGGAGAACAAAATACTGAACGATGGTACTCATCTGGTCTATGGATAAACAAAGAAAGGAGTAGATTGTATCCAGGGATGACAAGTCCTTGGTCTTGGATTACAAAACCGGTTATCCACCGCTGGGGAATGGGGGCGGGGTAGTGAGGAAGAGGTGACTGGTAATGACATAAGGACAGTGATGGAAGGTCTTGGCTACCTTGGTGGTGGGAAAGATGCAGCGACTCTGTACATTAATATCATAGATGCTAACCATGTTACCCAAAGGACGATGAAAATTAATAGTAGGGAAGGAGTGATAGTACAGCAGGTAGGACTTTGCCTTACTAATAGCTGGCCCGTGTATGATTTCTGGCACCATAAGGTCCCCCAAGTCCTGCCAGGAGTGACTCCTGAGTGCAGAGCCAGGAGTAATCCCTGAGCATAATTGAGTATCCCCCCACACACATACACAAATAGAACAACAAAGAATAAAGGGTAATCAGAAACTCAGAGCCAGGACCATTGACATCTTGGTATAGTGTTTATAAAACTAACTTGATGTCAGTAAGATCTGGTATGCAAAAAAAAAAATTAAAGCAAGGATGGTATTACAGGGTCTTTCCTTCATCTCAAGTTCTGTGGTAGTTTGGCATGGTCTGAGCTTCTTTTAGTAGGGACCACACTCAGGGTGGGGACATCATTGGGTCCATTTGTTCAGTGCTGGGCCAGCCATGCTGCTCAGGTGCAGGGAGCCACCAGACCACCCCATATGGTGCTGAAGAAGTGGGTGGAGAATGCCTGGGATCAAACTTAGGGCTTCTCACATAGCACGCATGTCTCACCCCTTCTAGCCATATCCTTGGGGAACTGTTTTGTCTTTATATGCTTGATATTTTGCCCATCACAGGGGGTGGGGGGCACCACACCTGGCTGTGTGTGTGGGGATCAAACCTGAGTCATCTGCATGCAAGGCAAGCAGCCTGCCTGCTATATTACTATTCTGGTCCCCCATCATGGAATTTTAATCCATTTTTGGGAGCGGGAAGGTACTCCCCAGCAGTGCTGAGAAGCCACGTGATGTTGAGGATCCAATCTGGGCTTCGATCAAACCAGCTTTGCACTCTAGCCCTGTGAGCTATCTCTTCAATTACTTTCTGACAGCACACATCAGGGACGGGGACGGAGCTCTACTGGAACTCAGATAGAGCACTTATTGCATGTGTGATGCCCTGGGTTGGATCTCTAGCACAGACTGAAAAAATATATATATTAAAACGTTTACCGCAGGCCAGATAGTCCAAAGGGTTGAGCACATACTTTGCATGTATGAGGAACAGGTTTGATTCCCAGCCCTGCATGGTTCCATGAGAACCACCACATGTGGCCCCAAAACCCTAAAACAAAATAAAGTGCTTCTTACAGTGAGTTATTTTTTGGCACTTCGTACACTTGCGCGTGACCCTGTCCCAGTTCGGCGGTCAGACTCAAACGTGACAAACAGGCTTGATGTTCTTCCTCTGTCCTACCCTCTAGCTGGAGATCCCAGCGTCAGTTCATTTTCCTTGGCCATGTCTACTTCTTTCTCCTGAGCCTCCTCCAGTTTGTACATAAAAATGTGGAGTGCAGTTCTGGGCACTGAATAATAAGTAATAGAAGGGCGGGAGAGAGCTCTGCAGACTGAGCACAGGCTTTGCACGCTGGAGGCCCAGGTTCAATTCCCAGCACCACATTGCTTCCTGAGCACCTCCAGGAGCGACCCCCAAGCACAGAACCTGTAGTAGCCCCCAAGCATTGCCACGCGTGGCCCAAAATCCATGAGGAAATGAAAGAAAAGGGCTGGAATGATAGTAAAGACACCTTGCATCCAACCTGGGTTTGAATCGGATTCTATGCTAGGGTTCCCTGATCACAGCCAGGAGTGATCCCTGAGCACCTCTAGGTGTGATGAGAGGGACAGAGAATGCAGGTGCAGTGATACTGCACTGCTGAGTAACAGTGAAGCCCTAACACTGGCAAGAATGTCCTCCCTCTCTCAGCTCAATGGGCTGACACATGCAAGGCACACGTAGCATTTGGGGCGCCCTGGGTTCAGTCCCAAGCAGAACCTAAGGCACCACGAGTGTCTTCCCTTTCTGTCCTCTGTGGCACTGCTCTGTGAACGCTTAATCAGTTGGGGGGGGGGGGGTAGTGGTTTGGGGTAATCCAGAGAACTGGGACTTCCACTGCTCCCCTTGCTCTTTCCCAGGTCACTTTGGAAGAGGTCAATTCCCAAATCGCACTAGAATATGGCCAGGCGATGACAGTCCGAGTATGCAAGATGGATGGAGAAGTAATGCGTAAGTGCCTCCTCCCTCAGACTTTGCAGTCTGAGCTTGGGGGGCAGGAGAGAGTGGGTGTCAGCTCGTCCGCAAGAAACTCCTGTGTGTTGCAGTAACCACAAGGCTCTGGCTGTGGGTACTGCTCCGCACTACCACATCCTTCCTCTGTGTGCCCTTGCTTGCAGCTGTGGTGGTAGTGCAGAGCGCCACGGTCCTGGACCTGAAGAAGGCCATCCAAAGGCACGTGCAGCTCAGGCAGGAGCGTGAAGGGGGCATTCAGCACATCAGCTGGTGAGTGGAGCAGTTCCTTCCCTGACCTTCCTGGGCGCTGGCGTAGGATTCCATCTGATGTGCTGCAGATACTGCATTCCTTTGTTTTGGCACTCCCAAGCTGTGCTCAAGGGGCCCGGGGGGCACTCTTAGCCATAATTGGGCAACCAGGCTGCCATCGGTGCAGTCCTCTGGGGCCAGGGACCACCAAGTAGTACCCAGCAGCGCTCAGGGGATGAAACTGGTGTTGGGTACACAGATTACTCATATACTCTCCCTGGCCCTGGAGACTCGCTTTGAAATGCCCCCTACACTCCACTAGCACGCTGACTAGAAGATGATGATGGGCCAGCCTCCTTGCCTAGGACTCCTGTAGACTTTCTGTCCGCATCACCTGCCTGAGCAACTGCATGTCCTCCTGGGGCTTCCTCTGCACGGCCCTCAGGAGCATGGCTTCTACATAATGCAGGAAGAGAGATGGGAAGAAGTGTTGCCCTGGGCCCAACAGACTGAGTTCTAGAGCCTTCCTATGTTCAGTTTCTGTGTCTTGGCTGCCCAGTCACTCTGCTGTGGCTCAGCCAAACCCGTGTCACGCAGGGCCTATGTGTGGAGGACGTACCACCTGACGTCTGCTGGGGAGAAGCTCACAGAGGACAGGAAGAAGCTCCGGGAGTAAGTCCTCAGGAGTCACTCCTGGCAGTGCTCAAGGGACCACAGGAGACATGGAGAACAAACCCATGTTGGCCAGTGTCTTCCCCCACATGGTATCTCTCCTGCCCGGGGGAGGGATCTTAAATGAGTTCCCAGGGAACATGAGGACCACAGAGTGCCTGTGTGAACAGGAGGTGGGGAGCAACACAAGTCAGCCGGGGCGAGAGGGGCAGAGCAAAGGGGGCAGCATGCAGGCGGAAGGAGACTTCCGGTATGTGAGCTGGGAAAAAGCTCACCACACCCTGCTGCTGCTCACGTACTTCCCCGTTCCTTCTCTCGCAGTTACGGGATTCGCAATCGGGATGAGGTGTCCTTCATCAAGAAGCTGCGGCAGAAGTGAACTCGAGCAGGTGCTCTGCTCTGGTGGCCAAGCTGTGCTCCCCCACCTCCACCCACCCAGGAGGAAGCCGCCGGTCACTGACTCCTCTGAGGGTGTAGAGGTGACCCAGCCATCTCACAGCTCCCTCTGGATGGACTATGTATAGGCCCTCAGCACCTGGACTATGAGAGCTGGTACTTGTTTCACTCCCATGTGTCTGGCCTGACCTTGACCTCTACCTAGATCAAAATACTAACCACATGACACGTCTCCTGGGGCTTTGGGCCCAACCCTGTAAACAAAATAAAAGTTCTGAGTGGTAAAAATAAGAGCCCCGGTGTCCAGGGCAGGAGAGGGGGTAGCAGATGCTGCACCTGAGCACTGCTGTCACCGTCCACTCG